ATTTTTTTAAAATACTACTTAATATATATATATAAACTTGATGAGTAGTATTTCGAGCCAAAACGAGTCAAACACGAACAAACAAATCTTTGTTCGTGTTTGGCTCCGTTAACTAGGGAACGAGCTAAACACGAGCTTCTTAACGAGCCGAACACGAGCTGTTCGCGAATAACGAGCCGTTTTGACAGCCCTACTACTAACTATTTATTTATTGACTTCATGCTAATATTAATAAAAACAAACTTATGGGTGACAATTAAATTAAAATTTATTTTTATTCAATTAATTAAGAAGAAAAGACAAATGCTTAGCCATCGTTCCTGTCCGTGTATAAAGAAGCAATAATTTTGGACCGTCCAAGAATAATTAAGAAAAATGGACGGATCAAACTGATGACACGTGTGATTTGCATAGTCGACGATAAGAACGTTAGTCGAAAATTAAGAGGGTGGGGACAACATACGGTACATACAAATGAATAATTTATTATAAACTAGGCTCCAATTCTGCATCTAAGTATAGGGCGTCGGTAGGGCTGTCAAAAAAGCTCGTTGTTCGCGAACAGTTCGTGTTCGGTTCGTCAATGAGTTCGTGTTCGATTCGTTCGATAAGTAAACGAGACAAACACGAACAAATTTTTTTCGTTCGGTTAGTTAAACGAACCAAACACGAACAGTGATGCGTTCGTTCGTGTTCGAATCGTTATTGTTTGAAATATAAAATAATATAAAATAATTATATATAAAAAATTTATTATATTTTAAAACATTAAATTTTATAAATTATAATATATAATAAAATAATAATAAATTAATATATAATATTATTTTTATATATTAATATTAGGGATGTCAAACTGGCTCGTCGTTCGCGAACAGCTCGTGTTCGGTTCGTGTTCGACTCGTTCGTTAAGAAATGAACACGAGCTTATTTCAAACAAACTAAATTTTAAACGAACTGAACACGAACACAAGCTTTGTTCGTTCGTGTTCGGTTCGTTTACACCCCTAGGCGTCGGTACGAATTGGACCCCGTTTTAGTTAATTGCGTCATAATACTTAATTAATAATGTTAAGATCGTTTTCCATATATATATAAGTAAATATATAATTATTGATACATCAAATATCTTTTATTGTGATGTGCACCACGGTTTGTTAGTTGGCACCCTTGGTGTAAGATCCCTCAGTTCAGGGGTTCGAATCATCTCTGACATAGTTGGCTTTAAGATGGTGGTACTCGAATTATTAGGCAAATTAGGAGTGGTTGGATGTTCGAATGATAGCCTCTGGTCATTCCTTTACAAAAATATCTTATTAAATATAGGTCTTGATATCATTTTAAATAAATTTATAATTGAATTTTTGTTTGTTTGTTGAGACTAATCCAACTACATGAAAAGTGATCTCTGAATAATGTGTGGTTGTAATCAAATCAATGTCCTGATGTAAATAATTCAATAAGTGGATGATCACTTAATTTCAATGATATTAAGGCACTGATATGCCTAAAAAATAATTTTTAATCAAGCAGATCAATAGGAACAACTCGATGTATGTTTGTGATATAGCAAAATAACTATAATATATGTCCAAAAATCTATAAACAGATCATAATTGTTTACATGAAATGAATCGGAATGAAGGATAGATCAACGGTTTGGAAAATCAAATGGCTTTGCAAGAAGATCAACACTAATGATCACCGAACATTAGCGATAGTTTTCACTTGACTATCATGACTTGTTAAATTTTGTCACCTAATACCAATATTTATGTATCTTATGTTATTAGCAATAATGCCAATGAACACTATTACTAATAAGATTGATGCATATCATCAATTACAATACCAATGTCGTATAATATGTCACCTCTTATTTAACATAATGTCAACAATCACTAGCTCAAACAAAAATAATGCATAGGATTTACACATAAAATCGATGTGCATCATTGACACTAAAAAAATGTGCATATTTTTGCCAACAAGGTCGATGCATGTTGTTCACACTAATATTGATGAACATCATTATCAATGAGATATGTCTACTGTCAAAACAAACATTGATATATGTCATTACTAATGAGTTCAATGCACACAATGAGTATAAATGTTGAGATCTGCTATTTCCAACATGGCCAATATATGCTATCAACATATAAAATTGATTCACACCTTCAACAGTAATACTGACACATGTTATCATTAATTAGATAATCTATGTTGTTGATACTAATGTTGATGCACAACATCACGATAAGATAAATGAATGCAATAGACATTAATGTTAATGTTCAACATTGCCAACAAATTTAATACATGTCATCGACATTTAAAATTAATTCATCTCATCAATAACCTTATCAAGAACAATAAAATTTTTATTAATATAAGAAAAACATACATTTAAAGATTGAATAAAAAATTAACTTTAAAGCAATGCAGAAAGAGTGGATGCTCCTACATGATATCAATATAGTTTTTCTCACAATTATTGGTGATTATCTTAGTCGGTTAATTTCTTTTCCATTCTCAACATATTGAGAGAAAAGCTACCATTAAAGTTATTTCATTGTTATTGTAAAGTAATAGTTTATAATTATGGGCATAAGATCCCTGTATATGATGTTATTTAGTGTTACATGGTCTAAGGAATCTTTCACATGCACCTTTGTGGTCTACTCTGGTTTTGAGTGCATGGGAATCTTGCCACCTCAAAGCATGGTAACAAGAAAAAGATGGTATTTATTTGGGTTACATCTAATCATGCAAATCAATAGGAACAATCCAACATGTGCTTGGGATATAATAAAAATAACTTATCACAAAAAGTATAAATAACCCCTAATTGTTTACATGAAAATGAGTTAAATTATGTGTTCAAAATATAATAAAAATAACTAAATATCAGTTCCAAACTCTATAAATATGCCTAATTTTTTATGTGCAAATGAGTTAGAATGAGGGATAACTTAAAGATTTAAAAAATTATATAATTTAACCCGAAGATTAAGACTAATGATCAATGGCCACTAGTGTTTATTGTCACCTGACTATCATGATTTTTTTCACATTTTGACAAACAATGCCAATATTTATTTATCACCGGTTGCCATCAACAATGATAATGAACATCACTACTAATGATACTGATGCATATTATTAATTGCAATGGCAACGTCTTCTAATTTTATCACCCCTCATTGCACATAATGTCAACACTCACTAGCTCAAACAATAATGAAGCATGTGATTTACACACGAAATTGATGCACAACATTGACACAAATGAACGTGCACATTTTTGCAAACAAGATCAATGCATGTTGTTAATAATAATATTGTTGCACGCCATTAATCAAGAAGATTTGTTTGTTATCAACACTAACATCGATGTATGTCATGATAAAGAGTTAAATGACACAGAGTGAGCATAACTGTCGATGCCCACTATTGCTAACAAGAATAGTTTATGCTATCAACACATAAAATTGATTCACATAATTAACAATTATGCTAGCATAAGTTTTCATTAATAAGGTCAACTTATGGCGTCAAAACTAATGTCGTTGTACAACATCAGAATAATGTAAATGAACGCTGTAGACATCAATGTTGATGTCCTACACTGCCAAAAAAGTTGATGCATATCATCAACAATTAAAATTAATTCACTTAATTACCAATCTTACAAAGACCAATCAAATTTGTAGTAATACAAACGAAACATTCATCTAAAGATCTAAAAAAATAAAGAGGCATCTACATGCATACCATTCCATTCCTATGTATTTACATGTCTAACATGCAAATTTCACTTTGTACATTTATATCACCTAAATATATCATATCATATCAAAAATATAACCAATTTAACTTTTTTTAAAAAGGTGAAATACAAAGATATGTAAATACATTGGAATTGAGTGTGATGTATGTAAATCTTCTAAAAATAAATGCCAAAAATGTTATTTTTTTTAATAATTAAATAAATATTAAGATAGCGTATAACTTAATTTGTAGTAGGATTATTATAGCATATCTGATAGATGATGTGACATTTTCTGTATTATCTGATTCAGAATGTAAGCAATTTTTAAAATCTTTGAGAATTTATTAATTAATTTAATTTTGTTCGGTATTAAGTACACCATTTATTTAAAATTAGATTTTTTAAATAAAATAAATTATATTATTATTATTATTATTATTATTATATATAATATATAAGCAATTATTGCAATCACAAAGTTCATGTAAAGCCCGCCTATGTATTTCTTATAAACAACTCATGAGGAATTATCTTAAAACACATCTAAATATTTCTCATTTACTTGAGCGTATTAACTTAATAAAATATTTGAGTTATATAAATATAAAAAAATAAAAATTAGTTGTTGGATATATAAATATAAAGGAACTGGGGAGGTTTATGTAAATGCCCCTAAAAAACAAAGCTAGATTTTATGAACTTCGTTACAGACTCGGAAATGCGGCCAAACATGGCGCTGCTCTCAAAAATAAATTACGTTGGGATGAAAAAGGGATGGACCTTTTGTTTGATTCCAGTAATTATCTCTTATAAATTTTAAAAGTTTCAATTTTGATGCTAAATTCTTCGTCTTTCTCATGTCAAGCAATTAGGCGATCTTCTCCGGCTTACGAGCTCCAATGCTCGTGTTCTTGCTCCAATGGATTCGCCTCACACTGCGCTTCTTCCTCGAATGTGTTCTTGAGGGTTTCAGGCAAGAAGAGATCACAGATTATCAATCTCCTTCATTTCATGTAATCTGAACAATCAGCTTTCCTCCATTTATACAAAGTCGTCGCCTTTCTTTCAGAATCCTCTGCTTCTCTGATCAGAAAACAGAAAAAAAATGGCGATGTCATCAACCATCAAAGTAGTTCTCGGCAGCATTGCCTTCGCCGTTTTCTGGGTTTTAGCAGTTTTTCCGGCCGTTCCTTTCCTCCCCATCGGACGAACAGCCGGCGCTCTTCTCGGCGCCATGCTCATGGTCGTCTTCCTCGTCATATCTCCTGAAGAAGCCTACGACGCCATTGATCTTCCCATTCTCGGCCTCCTCTTCGGCACCATGGTCGTCAGCATCTACCTCGAAAGAGCCGATATGTTCAAGTATCTCGGCAAATTGCTCACCTGGAAGAGCAGGGGAGGCAAGGATTTGCTCTTCAGAGTCAGTCTCATTTCCGCCATTTCCAGCGCTCTGTTCACCAACGACACCTGCTGCGTTGTTCTGACAGAATTCATCTTAAAAATTGCGAGGCAGAACAATCTTCCTCCCCAGCCCTTTCTTCTGGCTCTGGCTTCCAGCTCAAATATTGGATCTTCAGCCACTCCTATTGGCAACCCACAGAACCTGGTTATAGCTGTTCAGAGCAAGATTTCGTTTGAAAAATTCCTGTTTGGAATCATGCCTTCCATGTTGTTGGGTGTGTTGGTCAATGCTGGGATACTCTTAGGCTACTTTTGGAAGCTTTTGTCTGTTGAAAGAGGTCCGGAAATGGTAGAAGCAGGAGACATGGTTGTTGAAAATGAGGTGAGTTCTCACAGGTTTTCACCGGCGACAATGTCTCATCTCAGTTCTGTGAATTCTCAGGAAATGGGTTCTGCCATTGATGCAGTTCATGAAGGCGAGGGATTAGGAGCCGTTGGGATTTCACAGAGGGTTAGTGTCAGCAGAAGCAGGATGATGAGTCCAGCTGGAGAAGTAGCTTCAGAGGCGAATTCAGAAGAGAGGAATGGGACAAATAATGATGAGAGGTGGAAGAGAAGTTTGTGGAAGATTTGCGTGTATCTTGTAACCATTGGCATGCTGATTGCTCTTCTGATGGGACTTAATATGTCTTGGACTGCTCTTACTGCGGCTCTTGCTCTTGTGGTTATTGATTTCCAGGATGCCAGACCTTGCTTGGAGAAGGTTCTGTTTAATGAAAAAATTTAATCTTTTTTTATTGATTTCCAAACTTGGCCACTAATGTGAAGCATTGATTTGATGACTTGTTCAGAATATTTATGCTGAAATTTTTTTCTGCAGGTTTCGTACTCTTTGTTGATATTCTTCTGTGGGATGTTTATAGCTGTTGATGGGTTCAATAAAACAGGAATACCGAGTGCACTTTGGGAAGCTGTGGAGAGGTATTCGCGAATTGATACGGTTGGTGGGATCATATTGCTCAGTGCAGTCATTCTTGTTCTGTCTAATGTTGCCTCCAATGTCCCCACTGGTAAATATATTTTATTTCTTTCTTATTTTCTATTCATGCTGTTGAACTTATGCAGTAGATTTTGAGCTTAAATTTAACTAAATCATCTTCGCTTTCTTTGAAATTCTCACTCAAATATCAAAATTTATGATAAAACACCCACCTATTTTTTATTAAATTCTCAATGATTTGATTGTGGCACGGTGAAATACATCGTTCAAAAATATTACCCGGTGTTAGATTTTATAAATAGCATAGTCTTGGGTGCCATTTATGCAATTATCCCTTTTTTGGGGGTTTTTTTAAGGAAATAGTCTATTTTGGCATATTTATTTTACTTCACTGATTTTGTTTCTATCAAGTCCTGAATATTGATTTAGTGAATTGGGTATCTAAGATCAAATTGAGAGGAAAATGGATTTATTAAATCCAAGATTTAAAAGTTGTCATTTTTCTTGTGCAAAAACTATGTTAAGTTCAACTCAAACCTATTGGCAGGCAACTCCTATGGCTTTAAATTAGTATTGACTCTTTTAATTAATGCCTCCTTTTGTTTGAAAGTCTAGCCGGAGATAATAAAAGTTCATACCATAGGTATGTCACTCTAATAAAAAATTATCATGTTTGTGGGCTCCAAAAATTCACGACTATTCCCCAGGACAACTCTCTGCATTTATTTTTATCTTGAGAGAGAGAGAGCTTTAGAGGGTCGAATTTTCAGAAAACGGATTGGATTGTGATCATATGGTATATATATATATATATATATATATGTATATATAT